CCATCCCCCCCGTTCGCACGGTCCTACATAAGAGCTAGGCGGTCTCGAAGTGCATCCCGCAACAAGTCCCCGTCCATGTTCGTGCTCTGTCGCTGCCCGCCCGCGCCGTTCCCCACAATGCCCAAGTCTACTCTACGCCGAATGCCATTCTCATCCACCTCCCACAAAAGGTTCTCATCGAAGTCGATCCCCGCGTCGAGGAGGATGTTGTGGAGAGTGCACACGACCACGAATTGTTGTGGCAAGGTCTCCAGGTTCGTCTTGTGGGTGCGCAAGAACAAACGCCACATGCACTTCAGTCGCCCGAATGCCCTCTCCTCACACCCCCGCGCCACCTTCTGGCGCGTGTCGAAGCGCTCCTCGTCATGATCTTGGTCGATTCCTCCCTACGGCTGCACGATCCATGGACAAACAACTGGATAACTGTTGTCGCCTAGCAGGTAACCTCGCCTGACGACACCGTGTGGCAGATTCTCCGGAGGTGCGTCGAACAGCTCGCCAGCTTCTGCACGCCTCCACAGTTGGGAATTGTGCAGGACGCGGACGTTGTGCACACTTCCTGGGTATCCGATGTGGACGTCCAGGATCCGCAGATCCAAATCCACCAACACCTGCGCCTGCACGGAGAACTTCTGTTTGCGGTTGTAGTAGTTGTCTGAAGGTGCGTCGGCGGGCTTGTCAATGTAGATGTGTGTACAGTCGATCGCGCCGAAGCAGTTCGGGAAACTCTTGTCACAGAATCTGCGCACGTCTACGGCCAACTGGCCACTTGATCGCGTCAGGGTACGCCTGCAGCAGCGCCGAAGTGACGTCGCGGACGGCCTGTAGTCCAGTTGCCCTGCCGATGCCGAAGGCTGACGTGCCGCTCTCGTACGTCTCTCCTGACACCCACCTGTACAATGCGAAAGCGATCACCTGCTCCACTGGCAATGGCATCCTGTAGTGCGTCACCTTCTTCTCCACGTACGCAGCGCACGTGGTTACGATCTGCGTGAACATGGCCATCGACATGCGCAACTTCTGGCGGTATTACTCGTTCGTCGCGTCATCACAGAGGCGGAGATCCTCCCATGTTATGCCATTCCGTTGTTTATTCCACCAACGCGGGGTCTGCCGCGGGAAAACGCTAGATGACAACACGACACACAACTGGACAACTGCCTCACACGTGGCCACGCAATCCGGCGCTTCGGCAATGCGCTGCGACAACGCTCTTCGTTTACGAAGCTGCGTCAGCATGTCGCGTGAGGACAACGACACGTCGCTCATCGTGTTCACGACGACGGCAGTAACCGCCATCGCCACCGTGTCGATCTCCTCTTCGCGCAGATCGTGCCCGCTGCCGCGAATGTCCATCTCTGGGAATCATTCCACCCGCACGAAAACTGGCGCCTGCCACAGCCGCCGAAGACACGCCCGCTGCTCAACCCTGGTGCAGGAGACCACGCACGCCGGACCCGTAGATGCGCCCGCTGCCGTACGCTGCCACAAGAGATGGCGTACGCCGGAGCCGACGACGCGCCCGCTGCTCTACGCTTCCACAGGACAGCACGCACGACTGTGTCGTCCCCCGTACGTCGTACGGGGGGTCTCCGTACGGTCCGTACGGACGGACGGACGGACGACCTTACGTGTGTACGGACGACGGTCGTACGATGGTGATTTAGGGGCCAAAAAAACCCCAAAAACAATAAAAAAAAAATGGTGTTGTAGATCTTGAAAAGATCTACAACCCCATTTTTCTTTTTTCTTTTTTTGACCTTTGAAAGGATTTTAAAAAAATCAAAAACAAAAAAAGACGAAAAAAAAAAAGAAACTCGTGGCAAAAAAAAAACGGGCAGTTGCCCCGCATGAGTGTGTGTGTGTGTGTGTTCGCGGGGGGGAGGCGACCCCCCCACTGTCAACCAACCAATCAATCAATCAATCAA